CCCCACTTATGCTAATGAAGCCCGGGAAATTCAAATCCCGGGCTTCATTAGCAAGTGCGGTATGCATACATTACCCCGCTAGTTCGAACTAGCGGGGTAGTGTAGACATACCCCCCCAGACTAGGAAGCTGTGGTGATCAGATCACTGTAATCAAACGTCTCCCATCCCATACTTACTGCACCACTCCAAACTCCCCCTCCCCTCTGGCCCTCTCCTGTCCCAGCCACATACCTACTCCCCCCTCCCTCCTTATGTCCCCTTCCCTACCAGCATCTCGCTGTCTGGAGCAGGGAGCTTCTGCTGCTGAGGGAGTGCCCCTCCCCAGGCAGGAAGCTCTCTGTGTGGCAGCCCTAAACCTCTGGGCAGGACTCAGTTAGCAGTTGGGCAGCCACTGCTGCACAGTTTACAGGAAACTTAGATTCACGCCGAGTCAATATTGAGGCATGGGCGTGGCCTGGCAGCATGCTGCGGCCCGGCAGCCAGTGGTTTGTAGCCCAGAACTGGTCGGTGGATGGGCGATTGGGAACCACTGCTATAAGCCATGCTCCAGCAAGTGTTGAACACAAAAGCAAGCAAGACACTGCAGAGAAAGGGCAAATTTGAGAGAGACACTCATCCCATGATGAAAAAGGGCTGGGGTTGAGAGATGAAATTGTAAGCGTGACCTGATGTGATATCTAGTAGTTCATCAGGGAAATCTCTAATCTCTAGGACCGTGTCCAGACTCAGGGGGTTTTTCGGGAAAAGTAGCCTTTTCCCGAAAAAACTTCCCCTGCGTCCAGACTCAAGCCGCGTTCTTTCGAAATAATTTCGAAAGAACGCGGCTTTTCTTTCGATGGCGGTAAACCTCATTTCACGAGGAAGAACGCCTTCTTTCGATAGCTCCTCTTTCGAAAGAAGGCGTTCTTCAATGTAAAGAGGCCGTCTTCGAAAGAGAGGATCCAGACTCGCTGGGTGCTCTCTTTCGAAAAAGCGGATTTCTCTTTCGAAAGATCCGCCTGCAGTCTATACGCGATCTTTCGAAAGAGGCTCTTTCGAAAGATGCTTTCGAAAGAGCCTTTTGAAAGAAGCCTGCAGTCTAGACATAGCCTAGGTCTCCTCCTCACCCAACCACCAGGAGAGCAGACTGCAGTTTTAATTCCTCTAGTGAGACAGAGAGGGCACCAGAACCTCAACTGGTGTAAAAGTCATTGTAGCTCCACTGAAGTCAATGTAGACGTGCTGATTTACACCAGCTGAGGATCTGGCCCAAAAAGGTACAAGGCCTTATGAATACTTGTAACTTCCATCAGCCTATATAAAGTCCACAGAGCCTCACTGGTGACTCCTAACCGAGATGTGACAAGCTCAAGTAATCAAGGTCTGGTATTCTGGTAACTGATGTCTAATGCAGCTGTATCTTTATTGTAGATGGATTTTCTACCACTTCCTTTGTAACTAGAGAAGGATCCAGGAGTTCGATGGAAGGCAGTGCACAGGGCAATAGCAATGGAGGAATGGCTTTTCCTCTCCCAAAACTCTTGTTAAGAGCTTGACCAGGACTATGGAATAGTCCCCACCTTCCAAAATGCTTGTCAGGTTCTTCATTCATCACATGGATAAACTGAAATGCTTTTATTAAAACGTATTCAGTTAGAGAATATTTTTGAGAGACTGTAGGTTTACAGACAGTGATGCTACCTTTGTCAATAAAAACTCACCATCTCAGTTCCCTGTCCTTCTCTTATTCCCATCTTCCTCTCTCACTCACACACACACACACACACACACACACACACACACACACGCACGCACGCACAGAACTCAGTAACACAAAACTACAGAATCAAAGCATCCAAGAGGCAATGTAACTACACATCTAGTTCTGCCTCTGATGAAGTGGGTTCCAGCCCACAAAAGCTTATGCCCAAATAAGTGTCAGTCTTTAAGGTACCACAGGACTCATCAGTTCTGCTGCTGTTGTTCAGATTTTCAGACCCAATAGGTGAAGTCTGGCTCCTGGAAAAGAGGCCTAACAGGCAAACCAAAAATAGTACGGAATCACGCACTACTGTCCATGCCATCTTCACGAGGGAGAGAAGTGAAACTCTCCCACCTTTATTGCTTGCCTGGTCTCCTGAGAGCTTAGCTTCGTCTTCCCAAATCTCTGCTTTATTGGTCTGTCTGTTAAGACAGAGATGCTTTTGCTCATCCAATGGGAATGGAAAAGAAGTCTCCACTCTTCTCTGTGCTCACCTCCAAATAAATTGATTGCTAGGCTCTTTCTATTAAGGAACTCAAAGATCTTGGCGCTGCTAATCCCAGTAAAACCCTAGCTGAGCAAACAGGTGTCTTCTGCTATGGAGGGGAAATTAAAACGCCCCTTCCAAGTGGAAGCCTCTTTCAGACCATTAGTTCTTTGGTATCTACTGTTTGCAGATTTTCTAGCACTGTGAGGCTACAACCTGTCTGAGCCTTCTAGGCATTACTGCAAAATAAATGTTAAATACAATAATCATGAAAATGAACTAGCAGAAAGTTTCTATTTGGAGAAACTGCCAGATGACTGAAGAGTGCAATAGCAGGAGACTAGTGATATTACCCCAACTCCTCCCCACTTAACATACTCTACACCAGATGGAAACACTAAATGTTTTCTGTATTGAGACTAAAGGGCGAAACAAGTGCGAGATTTTTTGTTTTAGCTCCAATCTGCTTTGCTTATCTCTGTCCTTCAATGCCATCATTTAAACCAGAACATTTGAACTCCTTTGTGGCTCCAAACAGACAGAAACAACTGTGTGGACCCTCAGTGTGGTCTTCAGTCCCTTCTATCATCTCAAACCCTTTGTCTAGTTGGATCAAAACCTGAAGCTTGGTCCAGAGCGGAGCGCCATAGGGTGTGGGAGCCCTGACTCTGATGCATCATGCTCCTGGGCCCAATGCCGACACGAACACGGGGAGCAGTTTCCCTCCTTCCCCAATGGGGTGACATCTGTGGCAAGGACTGTGCACTTGATCCCCATTCCCTGAGGGGGGTTGGTATGAAGAGCTGCTGGGCTGCAAGCCATTGGAAACTACCTACTCTGTGCACAAAAGGGCATGTGGGGAGAGGGCAGTCCCTTCTCCCCATCCCATTCCTCCGGCCTTGAGATTTTTTTTTTCTTTGCACCACCAGGCAATGATTTCATTTCCTCCCGAGCAGGCAGAGCAGCAGCCTCCAGCCTGAGCTGGGAAAGGCCCAATCTCCAGGGCTCACTGGCAGTGTTAGTAAATAGATCCAGTCACATGGCATGTAGATCTGGTCAGCAGCTCACTCTAGGCTAGCCTGGCAGCCAGACGGAGGGAATGGCCCTAGCACCCTCCCCAGGAGTGTCTGCCCTTGGTAGTGTGCCCCCTTCCTCACCAGTCCTCACCCCAAAATCATTTCTCCAATTCAGGCTCCCCAGCTTTCAACGGCTACAGCCATTGGCTTAATTCAGAACTACGTCTCCCCGACTTACATCAACCTCCCCACATTCCCAATAGCAACACCAGTAACTGAACCAGATTCATACAAGAGGATTTTCCCAAAATTGAATCATTGGGGGGAGGGGAGGGAGGAGAAGAACCCCCCCCCACCTTAACTGTATTTTAACCAAGCAAACTAACTGGTGCACTGTTTGCCCCTTTCAAGCTCTCAGACCTGTTGTCTTCACCTCCCCAATCCTCCTCCCCCCAGTGGGAACCGTGCCTGCTTTGCAGAGCCTGGATTGCCCAACATCAACCCCCCCAGTGAAATGCAGCAGAGGAGGTGTGAG